ACACGGGTGATTTTGATGCCTTTTTTTTAGAAAAGGAGTTTTCAACATAATGGTAACTTCTGTTTATATATCTACTGCTTTGTAGGCAACATTTCTTTTGGTATTTCATCTTACTTTGGACTTGTTGAGTTTGCGCTCCTGCACTTTATTTCTGCTCTCAGTTTACAGTCACAGCACAGAAACAGCCCTGGTCAAAGTGACAAATGACATTCTGTCCATCTGTGACCAGGGCTCCCTTTGCCTCCTCGTCCTCCTTGACCTCTCTGCTGCCTTTGACACCATTGACCATTCTATCCTCATCCACTGCCTCTTCTCTAACCTCAACCTTCACGGCTCTGTCCTTGACTGGTTCAGATCATACATCTCACACCGCCTCCACTTCATCTCCACAAACAGTTTCTCTTCTAGCCCCCGCATCGTCTTGTGTGGCATTCTTCAGGGCTCTGTCCTTGGTCCCCTCCTCTTCAATATCTATACGCTCCCTCTTGGTGACATCATCTGCAGACATGGGGTCAACTTCCACATGTACGCGGATGACACCCAACTCTACCTCTCTGCCTCCAGCCTTGACTCCAGGACCACTGCTGTCCTGACAGAATCTCTGTCAGACATTAAGTCCTGGATGAGAGCTAAGTTTCTTCAGTTGAAAGTCAACAAGACTGAGGCTTTCCTGATTGGCTCCCGTCAGCGCCTCCTCACCTCAGGCACTGACAACATCACCATTCATTGATGGACACTCCACCTTACTATGCCAGTCCAGAACCTTGGCGTCTTGTTTGACCCTCTACTATCCTTTCTACCCCACATCCGTACCATGACCCGCTCTGCCTTCCCCCACCTCTACACCATCGCCCTGCTCTGCCACTGTCTCACACATCAGGCCACCGAAACCCTCATAGACACATTCAAGGCCTCCCCAACTCCTCCCTCCATAGGCTGCAGATCATCCAGAACTCTGCAGCCCATATCCTCTTCCAAACCAGGCTTTGTGACCCTATCACCCCCATCCTTGCCCGACTACACTGGCTTCCCATCACACTGGTCCTTACCTTCAAAGCCCTCCATGGTCTTGCTCCCACCTACCTCTGTGATCTCCTAACCCTCTACCATCCTAACCGGTCCCTCTGCTCAGCGGGCTCCAGCCTGCTTCACATCCCCTGCCACTCTGCCCCCACCCTCTGGAACTCTATCCTGCAGTCCCTCCGCCTTGCCCCCTCCCTTGTCACCTTCAAGACCCATCTCAAGACCCTCCTCTTCGATCATGCTTTCAATTAACCTGCTTCCCCCTCGCCCTCCACTCTCCCCAATCCCGACCCCCAGCTCGGGTCCAAAACTCTGACTGTCCAGCACCTTGAGATGTCTTGCCGACGTGAAAGGCACTATACAAATGTAATTTTGTTGTTGCTGTTGTAGGCTGGGACTCCTGTGCAATAATGGCTGTATTGTCAGATATGCTATCATTCCAAAAGGCCAAATCTGCCTTTTTTAGGTGGCTGTTAAAGATCCATGGCACTATTCTAAACGGCAAAGCAGTTTATCCTGTGTCCTGGCCAACAGTCCTCCAGATAAATTGTATAGCTGTCAGTGGGACTTTGCTGTGCACCAATTGACTACCACATTTACAATGTCCTGTGAAGCACTTTGGGGCATCCTGACACTATAACCTGTGTATCAAATGCAAGGATTAATATATTACTCAGCCTGGTATCTGGAATTTGACTACAGTCCTTTATGTGAAAGGGTTTGTGAAAAACTTTTACTTATAATCTACTGCTGAAATAGCTCAAGCATTTCTCTGAATCCTACAAGCTGCTTTTTACAATCTTTTTTCTATTGTTCTCTTAATACTCCTTTAAGTTAACATCAACTATTTTAGTATAAATCTAAATCCTCACTATTGTTTGTTTTCTTGTGCGTTTTAATATACACAGTCTGTGAGTTATATTGTGGACCTGGAAGTTTGGAACAATATTGGCTCCAAACACTGACTGGCCGCTTCCTGCTATGACGGAAGATCTATAATTCTAGCAGACCTACACCTTTTGTCGATGTGATAAGTATCGTTTGCATTCTATGAATTGCGTAGCTCTATTATTGTTTTTGTTCATGGCCTTTAATGCAATACTAAATCTAATTTTACAATGACATAACAATCCTTGAATTTGAATGGAGCATCTTATCACACCATTAAAATGTCTCAAAGCACTTCACAGAATTTTTCGTAAAGTGTAGTCACTGAATATATTTGTAGATAAATTTGCACGCAGCAATGTCCCACAAACAATCATAAAGAAAATAACCAATTTTATCTGGGGAATTATTAGGAATTGTTGGGATAATTTTTTTTTCGAATCATGTCATGGGAGTTTTAATTTTCACCAGAACAGACAGACGGGACCTCGGTTTAACATCTAATTCAAAGGACAGCACCTCTACAGCAACGCTCCACCGACATTGCACTGGAGTGTCAGCCTAGACTGTGTGTTCAAAGTACTAATATGGGGTGAAAGTGTAACAAATCTGAGTCACGTTCAGTGGAGCCCAAATGTTCACAAGATCGTCAGATTGATCTGGATAAAGAATGCCTTTCTAATCTTTCCAGAACATCCATCCTACTGTTTCCTCATTACTGGATCAAGCTGATTTAAATGAGTCCAGTGTCCTGGCCTCTGCCACCTTTCTTAGCAACCTGTTCCAATCATTGATTACCCTTTGTGTAGAGAACAACTTACTGGTATCTTTCTTGAATTTGCCTTTTACCATTCTAAACCTATGTCCTGTTATTCTACCGTCTTGATATATCATAAAGTATTGATCTAGGTTTACTTTTTCGACCCCATTTAAAGTGTTGTAGACCTCTATGAGTGGACTTCTTCTAAGTTTGAAGAGCCTTCTCAGACCATTTACTTCCCACACGAAACTCTGTTCGCCACACCCCAGTCCTTGCCAGACTGCACTGGCTAGCTATCCCAGAGAGGATCGACTTCAAGATCCTCACCCTCGTATTCAAGTCCCTGCACTTCTCTGCACCCCCCTACCTCTCTGATCTCCTCTCTCCTCAAAACAGCACCCGTTGTCTTCGTTCCTCCGGGTCTGGCCTCCTCTTTGTCCCCCGAGTCCTCCGCTTCACCCTCGGCGGCTGTGCCTTCAGTCTCTATGCCCCGAAGCTCTGGAACTGCCTTCCTCCCTCCCTTCGCCTTGTTCCCTCCCTTCCCATTTTCAGGTCTCTGCTGAATACCTTTCTTTTCGACCGCGCCTTTAATCACCTTCCCCCCCACTCCCCCGGCTCGGCCCGGGATCCGTTACTGTAAAGCGCTCTGAGATGCCGTCCGGCATGGAGGGCGCTATATAAATCCAAGTTGTTGTTGTTGTACTATTAATCACTGCTTATAGCTCATTCCTCTAACACCTGTTGCTCTGCACTGCTTCTTGGGACCTGGGTAACCCTGATGTTGCAGTGACCAGAACTGCATGCAATAGACATGCAGAGCACTGTACAACCTCAGTATGTTGTCTAGGGATCTAAACTCATCTGATTTAACAATACAGCATCCTGTTTGTCTTGTTTATTGTTGCCTCGCACACTGTTTTTACATAGAGAGCGACATGTCAACCCCACCACCCCCCCCGCTCCCAGATCTCTGTTCCCACTTCCAAGTTACTGATCAGTGATCACCCATGTTTCACCCACAAAATATAGTCAATTCACTTTACAGTATATTCTGTGAAGCGCTTTGAAGACATAAGGCGTTATATCAAATGCAAAGATGATTATTATTATGAGTTCTTGTGGTCTGCTGAACTTAATAATACTGTGGATCTTTTCTATTTCACACACTCTTTCAAGAATACACTTCACACTTTTTCACAATGAATACCTGAATGCAAAGTTTGATATTTTCTCTTCCTCTGATGGTTGTTTGGGAGATTGAAATCCTTATAGTTATCACATTATGATTTCTTGTGAAATCGCTTCTGTGTGTAAACAATTGTCTATCTACTTGTTCAGCCTGAGCTGAGGGTCATGGAAGTGAGAAATTACAGCATAGATGAAGGCCTTTCAGCCCATCAAGCAAAGGAGGTAATTTGATTACAAGCCCCTTAAAGTAGCCATCTGCGATAAATCCATTTCCCTATTTTTTCCCAATAATAATCATCCTTGTATTTGCTGATAATTTTGAATATCAATCTTCATATGTTTCATGGAATATTAGTACCCAGCAACAGGCTTAGTCTTGGTTCCTTCTCCCACAGGAGCCCCCTAATCAGATCTCACTCTCCTGCTCACTCCCCATACTCTTTAATACTGTATTCCCCTCTTTCAAGCCTCTCAAATTTCCTTTTGAAATAATCTATGGACTCTGCATCAACAACAGTTTTGTGACAAAGAATTCTACAATCCAGCCTCTCTCTCTGCAAAGAAAGTGTTCTTTGACTTTCTCCCACTCACTGATTTTTAAGTGCTGCTTTTCTTTAATTCAAACTGTACAGTGAATTGCATTGATTATTATTCCACCTCCATGCCAACATCAAGTAAGCATTTCAAGAATGCCTAAATTTAATCATCAGGAAGAGATGTGCTTTACAATAATGTAAATTTGAAACTGCTGCCCAGTTGATAATAACAATTAGAAACTGATCATCACGAATGCTAGACATCCATCTGCACTGGCCTTGGTGGAGTAGTGGAATGGATGCTTGGAGAGACAGTTGGTTTGGAAGACCGTTAACCACAGAACTGTGTTAGTATTTGTAACAACATCAATGGTTATGCAAACTGCCTTTTGGGCTTTTGACCACAGATGAAACACACCGAAACAACCTTAACATTGATATACAAGTTTGAAGCTTTTGCAATCAGATTGTGGTATTTTGCCTATCAAGTAGGAAGCTAAGTCATGCTGCCCAGGTTTACAGATCTGCTGATATTTTAGACAACATTATAGTAATGTGAAAATATCACTAGTGGGTTGATACTAAATTACCTTGTATGTTCGTAGGTTTTTCAGATTGCATATATTATCATAAAGGCAGCCAATTCTCCACGCCCTGGGAACTGGATTTTAGAGCGGTCATTTGATGGTATCACATACAAAGCGTGGCAATACTATGCTATAACGGATACTGAATGCCTCACTCGCTACAAAATTATACCTCGCAGAGGCACCCCCTCCTATACAGCTGATGATGAGGTGATCTGTACTTCATTCTACTCAAAAATTCATCCTTTGGAAAATGGAGAGGTAAGACCATTAATGACTAATTTTTAAAAATCAATCATTTTCAAAAGTTAGCATGGAAACGTTCGATTTGGAGACAGATGGAGAAGAGAAGTGGCATTTCCCATATTCCTATTTAGTTTACTTATTTGGTGTTTATATAATTTTAGGTCAACTTATTATTCACCCATTATTTGCAATTTGGAATGCCAGCTGTAGAGTACCGTCAGTTTGCTGTGTATGTGCGTTGCGTTAATCAAGAATATATTTGAATAAAATTGCAGCCAATATGGTAATCAACCAGCTGTGTTGGCTGTATTACACCCAGACGTTGAATTGTGTGGGTGAAAATAACATCTGGAAGTATATTATGTTGGTACCATGGCCATAATATGAAAATGACTTTGGTGCAGAGAAAACAAGCACAATTTTAAGTAGATCTAATCTATTATTTGGATTTTGTAAATCAGTATTGTTTTTCCTCTTGTTTATAATGTACTGGCAAACATACATTGGAGCCACATTGCTTGGAAATGATCTCATTTGCTCACTGTACGTAAAATACTCAATCCAACTAAATAAATAATGTAATTAGTTCTGTATTCCTAATTGCTTCAACAACCCCTTGTGAAGCGTTGTGTAGTGTTTTCAGTGCATTATGGGACCAGTTATGATCTAGTAGTCCAATGTGATTTACATTGGTTTGAAATTAATATTTTGTAAAAAGATTAATATAAGAAAATAAATCTATGGTGCAGGCTAATTTTGATTGATTTGTATAATTACATAAACATTTTGACTTGCTTTCAACAAAGGCAAAATGCAATATATTTTGTAGAGATCTGTGTTGATAACTTTATTGTATTAATATGCTAGAGAATGAAGGATGTGTTCAGTCGATATTTGGATATCAAAAGAGTTGTGTATACTAATATCTTATAGATGAGAAACAGCTTTAACTTGATTTATGTGTGTTAAGATATTGTTATTTGGTGTTCAGATTCATACCTCTCTTATAACTGGAAGACCGAGTGCTGAAGATCCATCTTCAACTTTGCTGAATTTCACCTCAGCTCGCTACATACGCCTGAGGCTTCAGAGAATTAGGACACTTAATGCAGATCTAATGACATTGGCTCACCATGATCCAAAGGATGTTGATGCTATTGTTACCAGAAGGGTGAGATCTCTGCCCAAATAGACTTTCTTCAAGATTCAGTGCAATTTGTGTGGCATAATGTATTACTTTCAATGATTTACATGTGACAGAATCTCTTTTGGATTAAATTAGAAATGCTTTTAATCTTTTAAGGTTATAGGAGGTTATAAGTCATCTATTTTATTTAAAAAAGTGCTTAATTAGATTTTACTATCTATTCCAGTCACATCGTACATTTAATCGTAATTTAATGCATTAATGTAAATTATGACCAATATCGCTGCTATTACTCAATTAAACTGAAAAGCCCAATTCTTAATTTGGTCAAAACTATAAAAAAAATCACCCAGTGATAAAGATAATATATCTATTAATTTGACATAACTAATTGTAAGTTTCATTCCTTCTTCAACCTTCCCACCACACTGAGTCCTCACGGTACTTCAAATAATAATAATAATCATAACAATAATAATCCTTGCATTTCATATAGCGCCTTATCACATTGGAAGGATGCCTCAAAGCACTTCACAGGATTTACTGTGAAATTAAGTGACTTATTATATAGTGATGAAAATAATAATCGTTGCATTTGATATCATCCTGATCATGTAGTCAAAACATTTCAAAGCACTTCATGGGATTTTACTATAAAGTGTAGAGACTGTTTATTTGTAGGCAAATCCATGATTATCTTGCTCACCGTTGCCACCAGTTAGTACATTATTTATACAAGAAAAACGAAAACCAACTGTGTTTAAAAATGTCATTCCATTAAATATCATATGCTTTGCAGCAATATATCACTCTCACTGGCTTTTTAAAAACTCTTTCTTTCAGTATTACTACTCCTTGAAAGATATTTCCATTGGTGGATTGTGTATCTGCTATGGACATGCCAAAGATTGTCCAGTTGACTTAGATAGTAAGGTATGTTTATTTGATTATGATCATGTAACTGTGGAAATGTAAAAAGGGAAAAATATTTTCAACTGATCACTAAGGCAATAACCAAAGGGGATAGATTTACCAAAGGGAGTAGGGAGAGATTTAGAGGATTTCTTTTTACACATAGGATTGTTAGGACATAGAATGCCCTACTGAGAACAATGTGTGAGGTAGAAATCATATTCGCTTTTAAAAGCGATCTAGATAGAGGGTAAATATAAAATGCTATGGGGGGAAAGGCAAGAGAATGAGACTAAATGGATAGCTCATTCAGAGAGATAGCACATGCACAATGCTGTGAATTTATATCATCCTATGTCGCATGGAACTTACATTCTGTTTTGGACACTGTTAAGCGTGGCGATGGGTTTCCATGTGTGACAAACTGAGAACACTTGAAGCAGCTTAGAGTGGGGATTGTAGTCAGCTACTAAGAATCATACAATCCTAGTTATGTAGCCAATGGGCTACCCTTCAAGTTTGTATTATAAGAAGTAGATTTATTTACGAGAAAGTGCAGTTGAGGCCAGGACACTGGACTCATTTAAAACATAGCTTAATGCTGTGATGGGAAGATGGTAGGGTGGGTATTCTGGAGGGATGAGATCAAATGGGTTTTAAAAGCCTTCTACATCTGAACCTTACTTATGATCTGGTGTGATGTATTTTAAAACCTAATAGAAATTATATCTCCTATGCTTTGCTGTAAATCTTTTGTGACCAGAGTAACATTATAGAGCTTCTTCAGAACAGTGGGAAAAATGAACTTTCAGAAATGACATACATCTTGTGAATACTTACAATTTTCACCAAACTGCACTTACTTGTGATGATGGAAAGTTGTGATTAAGGAAGCTCTGCCAAATGTTCCTAGTATTTTCTATACATTAGTGACCTCCCAGGCAGCTGATGTTCAATTCTGAGTACAGCAAAAACTATTGGTTAAACAACTGTAAAACAGTTGAATTGATCTTGGTTAAGCAGCTTACAGGTTAAAATTGTTGAAATAAAAACAAGAAGGTTGGAAAAATAGAAGCATAGAGAAAAACAAGTTGATGTTTTGGGTATGATCCTTTTGTCAATTATGGTAATTATTCATCAATACCTATTATTGGATTACAGCAAACAACATTGAGATATTAGCCTGTGTTACTATATTATTATAAAGCAATACACAGAGCCAAAGGATGATAAATATTTGCGAGGTTAGTAGAAATTCACAAACAGATCTTGTCCATTTCATTTGAATACATTTTGTTCACAAAACAGAAGTTTAGCTGTGAATGTGAGCACAACACCTGTGGAGACAGCTGTGATCATTGCTGCCCTGGCTTCCATCAGAGCCCATGGCAAGCTGGAACCTTTCTCAGCAGCAACGCATGTGAAAGTAAGTAACAAACAGTACACAGGTCAATTTCCAAATGAGAAAACATCTCAAAGCACTTCACATTATTTGCTGAATATGTCAGTCTGGCTCAGTTGTTAACACTCTGATCTCTGAATCGGAATGTTTTGGGACCTTGGTTGAACAACTCATCCAACAATGTAGTGCATCTCCAGTACTGTATTGCAGTCAAGACTGTGAGCTCAAAATTCTGATGTTGTCCTGTGACCGGATGAATAATCCAGTCAGTGGACTTCTGAGAACAAGTTGCTTCAATCTTTTCAGTCTTTGAATGGTGCTTCGTGTTAGGTGAACTATTGACTAAAAAGAAAATTACCTACGAAAATGGAAAAGCGGAATTAAATATATTATTGAGTTGGGACTTGACTATTTTTGAGTGTAACTTGGGAATTCCTTTTCATGATCTTAATGCAGCCATTTTTCTTATTGCAGAATGTAATTGTCATGGAAAAACTAAGGATTGCTATTATGACCAGAATGTAGCAGACAGAAACCAGAGCTTGAACACAAATCACGAAAACATTGGTGGCGGAGTGTGCACCAATTGTGCTAACAGGACAACCGGAATAAATTGTGAGACCTGCATTGATGAATACTTCAGACCTCAAAGGGTACAGCCAAAAATCTTTTATTTTCACCATCTACTAACAATATGGTTGAGGGTGCCCAAGAAGGCAGATATTATTCCCAGTCATTTTTTGACTGTAATGTTCATGAATGCAATAGACACTAATAGGGATAGTGTAAAACTAATCAAGGATCAAAAAGATCTTCGCTCATCTACACTGATCAATTCAAAACTTGACATACAAGTCCATCTTGTTGATGTCTATTTGTTGATGGGACTCCCACCCTTTATCTCGTTACATTGGTTTTTGCCGGTGAACTCAATGGCCTGTGGATTACTGGGTATTGGAACACAGCCTTCATTCAACAACAAAAAAAGGGAAATTGGTATTCTGCAAACCAGCAAATCCAAGGGTTAGGATTGAAGTAGGCTGACTGCCACATCAATGACTAGACACTAACAGGAATTTGTCTGTGATGTGAACGTTGCTGTTTTCAACTTTATTTATCACATAAAATAGTGTATCGGAATGGAAATTTTTTTTAAAAAATGGAAACTGTCCTGAAAATGAACAGTGACAGGATTTTTATAGTGCACGTTTTCATTTGGAGAATACCCTGTCTCAGGTTCTAGTTTAGAGAAAATGAAACAATTTTATTTTTTTCGCCTTCTTTTGAACAGTTTATTTTTGTTGGGCACTGTTTGTTTTCTTCCTGCTGTGCTATTGGCATAGACAATGCAGTAAATGGAATGTGCTCTACATGAAAGGAGAAAATTGATGTAGGCATATGACAAAACAGGATGAGTACGGTACGGTGAGCTTCTATTTTAGCAGTGGGTTATCAGGGAATTACTGTATTCAGTATACATTATAGAGCAATAAGTGGTGCAGATTGTTGATAAATTGTGCACATCAAACCAGATGCTTATCTGTTTGAGTTATTTATTGGAATTTCACCTAATGATGGTTTTGTACAGAATTTAGTATTAAACATAGCGAATTTTGTTGGTAATCCCCAGGTGACTTACATACTATAACACTAAAACAGACTTTGGTATTACAGTAGAGCAGTTCAGATGTCAGGCTAGCTTTAACACTAAAACATTCAGCTTTTACTACGACTAAAAGTATATTTAAAAATATCCAAATGACAATAACAACTTGCATTTATACAGCTCCATTCCCATAGGATAATGTCTTAGAATGCTTTAGATGGTTAGGGTAGGGCACTGAGAAAGGGAGCAAGAGGATGGAGAGAAGGAGGTGGCCATAGACATGTTTGAAGAATTGAAGACACAATGAGAGGGACTGTGATGGAGGGGTAGAGAGAGGGGTTTCCAGAGGCTTCGGGTGCAGGAACTGATGGTGGCATTGTGAGGTCAGGGACGTACAGCACGCCCGAGTTAGCTGAGCGGAAAGGGTGGGCAGAGGAACGAGATAGAAGGAGATCAGAGAGATGAGGGGATATCTGGGAGTGGATGGATTTGTAAGTGAGGGTGAGGACCTTGAAATCGATCCATTGGGAGATAGCATACCAGTGGAGACTGGTAAGGAGTGGAGTGATGGACCATAACTGGTTGATAACACTATAAGTAATGGAATTAAATTATATCAATTGAAGATGCACTTACATTTTTTTTGTAAACTGGGTTTATTTTTTCCAGGTCTCCCCTTATGATTCTGATCCCTGTGTACCTTGCAGGTGCAATTCAATTGGATCTTTGCACAGTAAATGTATTAAGGATGACAAGCACGTTGAAGAAGGTAAAACGATCCCTAATTATAATTTATCTTTCAGCTTCCTATCTTTGCACAGTGTCTGTTTCTGTTATTACATCAAGTTTACATTGTCATTTAGATCTGCTCCCTGGGTCCTGCCGTTGCAAGCCTGGTTTTGGTGGGGTACGATGTGACAGATGTGCATTTGGTTTCACTGGATTTCCTAATTGTTTTCGCTGCAGCTGCAGTGCAGCTGGCAGCTCGAATACTGATCCATGCATTGAACCATGCATCTGCAAGGTAGGGAATTGTTTATCTATACTTTAAGGTATCATTTTCACAATTAGCGTTGGAAATTTTATCTAAACATGAAAGTTGGTTTGTTTTAATAACTGCGGAAATTTGGCTTTCCGAATTAAGAGTTAATTAAGGCTGAGTTTAAGAATTTTCCAAAACACCAGGCGATTTTAGATTTTGAGACAAAGATCTTAAGGCTCAGGCAATAAGAGATTTCGAGCTTCTATTTTGCAGTTTTCTGAGTCCTCAGTTTTCATGTGCAATCCAATGCATTAAATAGTGGCAAAAAAGAAAGTACTACACATGTTATTAGCAAGTCAGAAGTTTTTATTTTGTTTTCTTACCACAGACTTTTCCCTGTGGAGTGAAAGTCCACAGAGACGAGCAATGTATTTTTTGGATTCCTCACCAGTAATCATGGACTGACTGCTGAGTTTAGCCTCACCAGTAATCATGGACTGACTTCTGAGCTTGGTACAGCATCAACAATCGAGTTAAGGGCTGTCCCTGGTTTCCAGCATTATTTCTTGCATAAGTGGCAAGGATAAAATCTACCTCAAGCTCATCTCAAATCTAGGATCTACTTGTTTTGGTCTGCAGAAAATGTCAGCTCAATGCCTGACAGAGAAGTGGATTGGGCTCATTGATCATGTAGTCTAGTAATAATCCTTACATTTGATATAATGCCTTATCGTATGGTCAAGACATCTCAAAGCGCTTTGCAGGATTTTACTGTAAACAACAAATTACATACTGTAAAGTATAGCAAGTGTGTATTTGTTGATGAATACGGCATCCAATTTGCACACAGCAATGTCCCACAAACAACCATAAAGTGATTGACCAATTTAATTTGGGGGAATGTTGGCCAGGACACTGAAAGCTCCCTTCTCTTTTTGAATAATGCCATGGGAATTTGCTGTCCTTCAGATGAGACATTAAACCAAGGCCAGGTCTGCCTGTTCAGGTAGACATTAAAAATCACATGACACTATTTGAAAAGAGTAGCGAGTTTCTCACTGTGTTCTGGCCAACAATTCCCCCAAATGAAATTGGTCATTTACTATATGTTTTTTGTGCGACATTGCTGTGCACAAGTTAACTGCACATTTGCCCACAAACTACACAGTCACTACACTTTACCATTAATCCTGTGAAACACGTTGGGATGTCCTCCCAATGTGAAAGGCACTCTACCAAATGCATTGTTATTATTAATACAATGATGCCTTGTTTATACTATAGAACTGCTTGGTTCGCTTCTGGCACTAACTTGCTGACTTTCATTCTAAAAAAAATGGAAATACTTCCAGGTTGTCCAAAGCACTTTCTGAATACATTCGTGCCATGTATATGTTACAGTAAATTTGTGTAATCACGAAATCCTGAAATTATTTTAACAAATCCGGTTGGTCTGACATTTCTTCTGACCGCAGTTACACTTCGTAAAGCCTTGTCAACCACAAACAGACACTAATTTCTCCTGGATGATGTTGGTCTCTATTAACAATTGTTGTGAGCAGAAGTCAAATCGGTTCCTTGAATAGTAGCCCCTCAGGATGCCGGCCTTCACTGCTATCTTGTACTGGTCAGTGTATATATCTCTGTTGATGATGACACCAAGGATGTTTCTGGGATCCCCTCTACCCTTGTCCACTGCTGGGATGGGGAGAGCCACGTTGTCGCCTGGTGTAGCAGTTTAGAGATCAGCCGAGGTGGAGTGGTTGCCAGGTAGTCCTTCTTCTGGTGTATTACCTGCAAGAACAATCAAGCTCACTTTTCACTGTCGAAATCACCTCTGCTGGCAGTGATAAAGATGTTAGGCCAACACAAGTCTCAATGCCAAACACAGCAGCATAAAGGGAGCAATTTATTCCTGACTGGTGAGCAAAGTTCTTTTTGAACAGCACAAATTTAATGCCGACTGTCAAATCCTAATTTTCATAATATGTTATTTATTTGTTGTTAATACGAACAAGTATCAAGGCAAGGTTATTGGTATGATAAAATTATCACTTTTTCACAAAATTCCTGACTTCTATTTTCAGTGATTTCATGGCTTCACAACTTTACTGAAAATTTCAGGGATTTTGTGAAATCCCTGGTTTCATAACTTTACTGTAACATATATATTCCAGGGCTCTGAGACACAACCCCATGTGAAGGGTGCTACATAAATGCAAATTGTTGTGTAAGAAATTACAGTACTGTCACTTCCAGCACATCACGCTTGTGTGCTACGTACAAGAAGTGTCACTGACAACATTTCCCCTGTTTAATGTGTGCAGGCATTTTTCCAAGCTTTGTTTGGAATACAGCTTTTGAAACATTAGATTCAGTCGACTGCACTATAAAGAGCATTTACAGTATTGTCGTACTTTTTGATTACCTAAGTAACTTGCAAACAACCTTTTAAACTTAGATCATATTCATTTTAATGTAGAAGTTAGTTGTTTGTGTGTTTTCTACAACTTTCAGAGCCTATTTCAATTTTGAGCAACATTAATTGTTTAGAAAGGGGAAACCAGGAACGAAGACAAACTGAACATAAACATCCTTTTTCAACAATTTTGGCTCACTGTCGTATCAATGTTTACTTAGTGATTGTATAAATAGCATTTGAAAGTTTTCCAATGTCACCTGAAAAGCTAAGAATGTTGAAAGTTTACAGGAAACTCAGCAAACATTCTTGGCCTCCAGCCCCTGCACCGTCTCATGCGGTGTTCCTCAGGGCTCTGTCCTCGGACCCCTCCCCTTCACATGCTCCCCCTTGGTGACATCATCCGCAGACATGGGGTAAATTTCCACCTACACGCAACTCTATCTCTCTGACTCCACCCTCAACTCCAGGACTACTGGCATCCTGACCGACATCAAGTCCTGGATGAGGAACAAGTTTCTCCAACTCAACGTCAGCAAGACCGAGGCCTTCCTGATTGGCTTGCGCCAGTGCCTCCACACCTTGGGTGCTGCCAACATTGGCATCCACGGCTGCACACTCAGCCTCACTAAGCCAGTCAGGAACCTGGGTGTCTTGTTTGACCCAGAACTGTCCTTTCTCTCCCACATCTGCGCCATGACCAGCAGTGCCTACCACCACCTCCACAACATTGCCAGACTCTGCCACTGCCTCACCCCTCAGGCTGCTGAAACCCTCACCCACACATTTGTCACATCAAGGCTCGACTATGGGAACTCCCTCTTCATCGGCCTTCCCAACTCTTCCCTTCACAAGCTGCAGATCATCCAAAACTCGGCAGCTCGTGTACTCTCACGCACCAGGCTCCGCAAACCCATCACTCTCACCCTTGCCCGACTCCGCTGGCTCCCCATCTCTCAGAGGATCGAGTTCAAGATCCTCGTCCTCACTTTCAAGGCCATTCATGGCCTTGCCCCCTCCTACCTCTCTGACCTGCTGATTCCCTACCAACCTGCCCGCTCCCTCCGTTCAGCAGGCTCTGGTCTGCTCCATGTCTCCCGCCCGACCCGCCCTATCATCATTGGCCAGACATCCAGCCTCTCCGCCCCCACACTCTGGAACTCCATCCCACAGTCCCTTCACCTCGCTTCCTCCCTTGCCTCCTTCAAGGCCGGTCTCAAGACCCTTCTCTTCGATCGTACCTTTGATCTCCCTCCCACCTCTCTGCCTTCCCTCACCCCTCCCCCATGCTCAGGCCCCGACACCTGACTGTTCACTTCCTTGGGACATCCTCCCGACGTGAAAGGCGCTCTATAAATGTCATCTTGTTGTTGTTGTTGGATGGAAAATGCTCTCTGTTTTTCTGGCGTGATTCAGTATTCACATTGCATTGCTTCAATACACTTGTAAATTCATCTTAACTTTAATATGATTTGCAGGCCAGCGTTGAAGGTGAGAACTGCGACATGTGCAAAAAAGGATTCTATAATTTGCAGTTAAAAAACCCCAATGGCTGTGACCAGTGTTTCTGTTCAGGGGTATCTACTTACTGTGAAAATTGTCCATGGACCTATGACAGTGTAAGAAACGTCTTCAGAATGGGAATTTTTCTGTGTTATGTTTATGGTTTTCAAAAAAAAACTTGATAGGTTTACCATATTACTTCTTGGCAATCAACCGTGGATTTGCTTCACGTCCGACCATTAAAACCACAATGGGCAGTGCTACCGTGTAAGTAAACTATCTAGTTGTGAGATATGTAAAGAACAGTTGATTTAGGCTGCTCAATCTAAATACTTACATTGCATTCTGTCCCGGTAATGCATTAATGGCCTTTGTTTAACCTACAATCTCTGGTCAGATAATCATCAGTCCATTTGGTCTGTATGCTCTTGGGTTTCATTATAATTTGACATGGTTTTTAGCTTTTACATTTATTCCACACAGAGAATTATAATAGTGTATCTATTTGCCATGTCAAAGCAACTGAATCCGTCATTCCTTCTGTGAACTATTATAAGGCTAATTCACTTATGAGGTTAATCACATATATATTTCAGTCAGTTGTAACATAACGCATCAGTTCTCCTCTCTTCAGTTCTGGTTGAATCCTACGTGTCACAGGCACAATTTGATAGAACTGACATTTTATAAAAGCTGTTTTTAATTTGGTAGCATTAATAAGGCCACAGTCAAACTTTATCCAGTGCATTATGTGTAGACTCCACTCCATCTTTCCAAACAGTGGTAAATATTTCTGATTCCCCCCCGCCCAGCCTTTACTTTTGCCTTTCCTACACCATCGACATTCCACAATATGCAAATGTGACATTTCAATTGTTTATCTCTTTAGACACCAACATTACCCTTCAGGGTTGGAGAGATGTGGGAAGGATTCCCTCTTTGGGTTATAATAATAATAATAATCCTTGCATTTGATATTGCGCTTTTCACGTCGGGAGGACGTCCCAAAGCGCTTCACAGAATATACTGTAAAGTGAATTGACTGTATATTTGTGGGCGAACGCGGCAGCCAATTGCGCACAGCAATGTCCCACAAACAGTCGTAGATTGAAAATGACCAATTTATTATTGTTTTTGGAGGGATTATTATTAGGCGTGTGGAGTAAGAAAACTTGCCCAAGGTTTCGCCCTGCCTGGAATTGAATTCAGGTCTCTCGCTTGCAAAGCGAGTGCTCTAACCACTGAGCTACAGGACTCCACTTCTCTCCTCCTCTCTCCTGCGGCTCATTCAGCTGAGATTGGAGGAAATCTTAATATAAACATCAATCAAAAATATCGAGTTAACCTCTAATTGAGAGCTTATTTTCTAACGAGTACCAGGAAGTTTTAACAGAAAGGATGGAATGAAAACAACAAGTGGGAAATTGTTGATAAAGCTCTGTTAATTCAAGAAGAAAATGGGAGCTTTAGAAATAATGATTTGATTGCCAAATAATGATTTGAAGACTCTTTATTGAAAGTAGGATAATTTTAGATGTTGGATTTATCAAAGCATGTTAGAGTGTTAATCATGAGATGTCTGAGAGAAGTTAATCCCTTAAATACATTTCCGTCTTTGAAGAAGTTGATAATTGCTTTTTTTTCCAAAATGTATTTCTGCCTTGTAGGTGACAGACATGTTTGGTTGGTACCTGACTGATTTGGAAGGCATCAGGAAAATTGCACCGAGGCAAGAGATCACTGGTGGAGTACAACAGCTCAGTATCAACCATGATCAAGTCAGAGGGATTTTAGCACCGCTGTATTATTGGAGTGCTCCCAGCAGATATTTGGGTAATAAGGTATGTAACTCGCTAAATGAACTGTGCGCTTGTCCTCTGTTTTTCACAAATATTTCCTTGTAATAATGCACTGGTCTGTAGTCCCTAACTGCTGGAACTCTCTGCCTCTACGTTGCTAGGCATCCGATTCTGTCTTTGTAAAGCACTCTAAGACTTTGTACAAATGCAAGTTATTGTCTTGAGAAGATAGTGTCTGGAGTCAATTGCAGATGCATGCTTCTCCATATGAAAGATATACAGTACAGTGAAAAAAGTGATGTATGAACATGACTAGGAGTTATCAGATCTTAGTAAAATTGCATTATAGCAATCAATCTGAAGATTATTTTAAAATTGTGAAATATTTTTAATTCAAATTAGGCATCGATTTACAATTAATGAACATTGTATCAATATTTTATGACCGGATTCTGGTACAAGAAAGGTACTGATAGGAATGTAGAACCGGAACACAACTTGTTTGTGCAGCCAGTTTCTTATAAACAAAACTATCTTCATGTGTTATATTTTTACTGGCTCGTACACTGAGTCTGCTTGCCAGTAACGCCATATTGTAGCTAAAGGAGACGATCCATTGCTACATTGCGACTGCATGATATTATTTAGGGCGGATCAAGGCGATAACAGTACAGCACTGCTTCAGTGAAAAAAGGTGATGAATAATAATTTGGCTTAAGAAAAGGCATGTGATGAAAAAAAACTCTTAAATTTTAGAAAAATCTTTAAATAAAATCAAAAACATAACTCGCTTTGGTGGTCTAGATGCAATTCTCAAAAACGTGTTTGTGTTTTCATTTAGTTCCTATTAACCCTGCAAGCCAAGGCACCTAATTGCTGGATAATAATAAGAATCCTTACATTTGGTATAAAAGCGCTTAAGCACTCTGAGGAGCTATCCGCATGAAGAGCACTATATAAATCCAGATTGTTGTTGTATAGAGCCATTTCACATTGGGGTATTTCTCGAAGTGTTTCACATAATAAACTGCAAAGTGAAGCAACTGTATTTTGTGGGTGATCACAGCAGCCAACTTGGACCAAGCAATGTCTCACAAACAGTCATGGTCCTAGCTAGACAACTAGAGGGAAGCTTACCAGACAGTGTTCTCATTTGTAAGCTATGTGATTTTAATAATAATAATCATAATCCTTGCATTTGATATAGCGCCTTATCACATCTTCTAGACGTCTCAAAGAGCCTCACAGAATATACTGTAAGGCGAATTGACTCTATAATTTGTGGGCAAAATATTTGGTTAAGCTCCAGGAGCACCCCAACACACACTCTGTGGTCCCCAAGCCTTAGCTCTCACCAACCTGGGCCTACTATTCTCCAAAAGTAGGTAAACAATAGGTGTCCTTCCAGGGAAGGAATGCACATTCCATTCCAGAGACAGTAAAATGTCCCTGTGTTAATAACATGCATACTCTCAGTTTGATTTGGATACTCTTAGCATGATGTTGGGTTTCTGCCATGTCAGAGACCTGAGTGAACAAAAGAAAAATTGTGTTTTGACCTTCCCATCCTCTGGCCACTAAACTGTGGGAGATGCAGCAACACACAAATTTTCAAAAGACCTGCTTTAAAAACAAATACCCACTTACATGCTAAATAAAGCTCAAATAAATGCTTCCTGATGTTTCCTGATGAAATAAAGGTCAGAATACTATTCATTATTCGCATCAGCATTACGTATGCTGTCAGCTCACAAATACAATTTTTAAAATGGGTTTTATTATCATCTGATGTGCTATAGCCTTCACTGCGCATCTGAATGTGTATGTTCTGATTATAGGTAGCCCACAATTATGTATGAGAAAGTAATAGTTTGGGTTTTTTTAAGATGTTTTTGTCAGTTTTTTAAAAAAAATGTAAATAAGGAAAATGGAATGGGAGTCAGATGTCTCATTTGGAAACCACTGTCCACTAGGAAATATAATCCAGTTGTGCATTCCCCCTGGATTCTGTAGCATGGTGCAAAAGAGATATGAACAATAGAATGAATCATTTGCATGGTCATATTCTCCCCAGTAGCACATAGAAGGTGTAAAAATAATCCATTGTGAACTCGAAGGCTGACTTGTTTGATAGCATTTTCAAGCTGCACATTGGGACTTTACGCTCACAGTCTAGGCTGCTGGGGGAGCATTGGAATGTTAGAGATGCTGACCTTTGGATGAGACATTAAACTGAGGTCCTATCTGCCTGCCGAGGTGGACGTTAAAGATTCCATGGCTCTATTCACAAACAAAAGGGAGTTTCTCCTGGCAGTCTGACCAAGAACCCTCCGTGGTTNAAAAAATCACTTTGTGGTTGTTTTTAGACATTGCTGTGTGTGAATTGGTTGCTGCATTTCCCTCAAATACATAATCACTACATCTCACAGTAAATCCTGTGAAGTGCTTTGAGACTGTTGGATAATTGATATGGCACTATACAAAATGCAAGGATTATTATTATTCTAAAGATACAAAGGACACTTCTGTTGACATTTGATGTCCTATATTTTCTGACATGTTACTTCCAACCAGCAACTAAACCTGTGATCCTATTACTTTTATTTAGAAACCTATAAGGTCAGTTTTGAATGAAATCGTGTTAATGCTGCTTATGGTACTGCAGTTCATTTCATTGTAATGCTCCTTCTCTCTCCAAGAACTAAGCTCTAATATAACTGGAGACACTGCGGATAAATTGATAACTCTTATATTATGGATTTAAGCAATAATTTTGGTACATATTGAGCAATTTATTTTACTAACATTAAAAAGAAAAAATGTATGCAGAATGCCAGGGGGTGATCTTCTGCTAATTGCTAAAATAGTGATCTTTGTTCATAGTGTCTTTATAATGGGAAATCCCAATATAAACATGTCGCAAAACAGATTAATAGATTAACAGATTAACCTAAATTGGACTATTGTGTATATCCAGACCATATATTGTTGAAAAACTGGGAAAATACACCTAAAATGTTTGTGCTTTAATTCCTAGCATTTCTCTTTTCTTTGGCATGAGGTATGGACAAGCTGATGTAGTCTCAGTCTGTGTGCTATTTATTGGGGTTTGAACACTCGCTAATAGCAAAACAAATCCATGCACAGAAATCCATACATTATTGCTCAAAATGGGTCAGGGCTCCTGGATGATAACCAACAGAAACAGAACCAAACATAAACAGAATGTTTCTATTGGCTATCAAATTCCTTTTTGAGGTTTGCTTCTTCTACTATGTTTTCTCTCTCTCTCTCTCTCTCTCTCTCTCTCTCTCTCTCTCTCTCTCTCTCTCTTTGAGTCTCCCTAAGACAGTGGTGGCCAATGTTTTTGGTCGGCTAACAAAATAATTTTTTGAAGGTTTTTAAAGAAAAACCTCAAAGCTGCTGATCGAACCACAAACTTACCTAGACTGGTGTGAATGTTTGGGTGTGGGCCGTTTTCAGCCGAAGTTTGGCTTGCAATTCTCTAAAATGCTCCCTTTCTCTCTCTCTGACTTTTTATTATCTAGTATCTGATCTGTTTCTTTTTCTGACTAACCCTACACTGTACAAAAACTACCTGTATCAACAGTTACCCTCCAGCTATACAAAAAAAACAATCAATTGGTGCTCACGTTCAGAAGGTTACTAAATACACAATTTAGATAAGTAAGTATAAGAAAGTAAATCACATCAAGACTTCTCACATTTGGACAACCAGATATCCAATTTCACTGACTATCACAATGTAGAAGGTTGCAATTCCATCACAGTAGTCAGAAAGAGCAGAATGAAGAAGGCTTAGCTCTCTTAACCTCCAATGCAAGCCGATAATTGCACAGTGATCACAAGCACTTGGTACATTTTGCCGTTATTGAAAACAATCAAATAAAGAAGTAATAGTTCACCCGTGGAATCACAATGCTTTATGTGATTCCGCCAGTGTAACAATGTACAGTCTTCATCAGTTATTTGAAGGCCAACACAGCAGTGGACTGAATGAAGCAAGTCTATATCAAAATAACAACAGCCAAAGAGTTTTGACCTCAATATGTCCATATAATGGTGAATCAGGGAATGGATGTGAATGTGAAGGTGAATATGTCGCAGTAAACAAAGATTTTCAAGGACAACTGAGCCATCAGAATGTTCATGTCCCAGTGATCATGGAAGAAACAAGCAATTATCTCTGTACTTTTGACGTGTTATGTCATGATGTGCTATATAGTTTGCAAGTTATATGCTGTTCTGGGTCACAATAATAAGTTAAATTTGTTACGCCAAGAGTATAATACAGTCAGGAACGTTTGTTCCTACATTATCATGCTCATGAAAACGTGATATATTTGATACTTAAATGTCTGTCATCAAATTACACATCAGGTTGATTGATAACAAACCAGGACAAATACATTTACTCTGTTCATTTGGGGACAGCAGTGGAGCAGAAGTGACTCGTGTTTTGTAGCACATTTGTTTGCAAGTCTTATTATTCTCTCCAGAAAGTGCAGAGCTCATTGTTGACATTTCAGATGGTTAAATATTAGATTAAAATTGTTGTGAGGAATTAAGTTACCATTTGCAATGAATATGACAAAGTTTATTCATAGCGAAAGAGATTACCCCAATTATATACACACAGGCTCTTGAATGGGTATTGGCCCATCATGGGTAATAGCCTATTATGATGATAAATAACCCATCTTTCAAGATTCTGGCTGGGTGCACACTTCAGTGGTTTCACTGAAACCTAAAGCATTAGCTGACATCTTCAGATTGACAAGAGTGACAGCAGTGTGTGAAGCGCCTGCATGGGTAACTACAGATAATTTTTTTTCCCCTGAACGAATGCGTTTAAAATCATCCAATTGAAAATTGCAAAGTGTCTCTTCCCAGAGTAGCAGCAGCCATTTCATTAAATGTTGTTTGCACAAACACCCAAAGAATGGCACGCGGAGCTCTTGATTGGTTATTCAGCTGAAACTGAATTCAAAGCATTTTTGTCCATTTTAAAGGAGGTTTTG